TTTATCATTGGGTTTAACATTTTGTACGATCTTTCTTAGTTTAGTTTTTAGATATATATCTATATCTTTATGTAAATTAAATAATGCACGGCTTTTAGGTAGAACAGATGCTTTATGTAAAGTTATTTGATAAAATTACCGTGGGTAAATAAAATTTTCACTCACTCAGTCACCTACTCACTCACTCACTTACATAGCGCTACATAGCTATGAACAGCCATACATAGCCTTACATAGCCATACGTAGCCGTGAATAGCAATTCATAGCCCTACATGGCCATACATAGCCTTACATAGCCATACATACCACTACATAGCACTACATGTACATAGCATTACACAACCCTACATAGCCGTACATAGCTCTACATACCCGTACATAGTCTTACATAGCCATACATTGTCCTACATAGCCTTACATAGCCATACACAGTCGTACGTAGCCCTACATTTTCCTACATACCAATCCACAGCCATACAAAATCGTACATAGCCCTACATAACCCTACATAGCCATACATAGCCCTACACAGCCACACATAGCCCTACATAGCCCTACATAACCCTACATTAACCTTACATAGCCCTACATAGCCATACATAGCCATACATAACCGTTCATAACCCTACATAGCTATATACACAGCCATACAAAGTGGTACATAACCCTACATAGCCCTACATAGCCATACATATCCCTACCTAGCCCTACTAGCCCTACATAATTCTATATAACCCTACATAGCCCTACATAGCCACACATAGCCCTAGCCTTACATAGCACTACATAACCCTACATGGCCATATATAGCCATGCATAACCCTACTTATTATATGGCTGCCTCTGTTTCCACCATGGGATTGGTCAATTTGCGATCCGTAACTTGCTATACGGACCAAACTTTCAAAGAAAATGCTCATTTCGGAGCTCTAAATCTCTTTACCTCGGAAAAAAAGGGTGAAATTAAGTTACAAGACGTCTATAAACCTTGAGGACTTAGATTTTGACTTTGTCCTTCATCATTTTAAACTGTGTTTATTTGTTAAGGAAGGCGATGAGGAAACTAGCTCGTAATCTTATCGAAGAGGATTCTAGTCAGCGTTTGAAAATTTTATCGTAATACAGTACACAGTTAAGAAGACGAAAATCGACGGGCAGAGATTCGAGATGTTTTGCCTAAGAGAAAATCAGTAATTCCTTCGACAAATATGATAACATCGTCATCTTGACGAGCTTCTTTATCATTTCCAGTGTTTTTCCAAAGACCAACGAAAGGAAGATAGAAGCGACTCCGAGCCAGACACAATGTCCAGTTTTCAAAAGACTCCAGCGTCACATTGGCGAGTGAATACTTACAGTGCTCTTAGTTTTGACGAATACACTTGAACATATGTCTGTAAGCCCTGAGGACTGGGATGTTGACTTTGCCTTTCCAGATTTCAATCTAGCTTTGTTTGAACGAGAACGAAGCTGATGTAGAAACTGAATCGTAACCTTTCCCTGGAAGAAAATATGGTCCGTGTTTGAACATTTTTACGCAGATCACGCTTGAAGACGAGAAAGAACTGGCAGAAATTCGAGAGGTTTTCCCTAAAAAATTAGTGAGCAAATCTTCGACAATGACAACAAACTTACCTTGAAAAGCTTCTTTGCCTTTTGCAGTGCTTTTTTACAAGTACCAACGCAGGAAAGATGGAAACGACTTCGAGAAAGACAGTGCCCGGTTTCCAAAATACTCCAGCGTTACATTAAAGAGCTAAGACTTACAGCGCTCTAGGTTTTGACCAAATAAACTTTTTCAACATGGCGAATTTGTTTTCACTTTCTCGGAAACGCTTTGTTGTGTGCTATTGTTTTCGTGAGCCAATAAAAACTTTCTTTCTTGACGCCTGTCAAATAATTGTCAAATCGCGCGTCCTGCACTTGTTTACGGTTCCCGAAACTGGAAGAAGCCATATAATAAACATCTTATTAGCCTCGTTTTTTCGGTCCGTACTGAAAATTACAAAACTCGGCTGATAAGAGGTATATAAACCAACATAGCTTTACACAGCCATACATAGTGGTACATAGCCCTACATAACCCTACATGGCCCTACATAGCCATACATAGCCCTACATAGCCCCATATAGCCATACATAGCCATACATAGCCCTACAAAGCCCTACATAGCCATACTCAGCTGTACATAGCCATACAAAAATGTGGGGAGTTCTTGAGAGGATTAGGCCTTTTGTTGGTTTGGAGCACCTCATAAGCGTATACTTAACAATTATTCTTTGAAATCGAGGTGAATAGTGGCAAAATATTTACCGAGCCGCGAAAGCGGCGAGGTAAATATTCCCAAAGCCACTATTCACCGAGATTGAGAAGAATAATTGTTTTAGTATATACACACGAAGTGATCTCAACAAAATCAGAAAGGAAACCATTCAAAAGTAGGATTTGATTGACAGATCAAATCACGCGTAAGTTTAAAAATAGATCTTTGCAGAATTTTCAAACATGGCAATTCACAAGTTTACTCATTGCGCAAACAACAGCGTAATGGCTTCAATGGAATCGCTAAAAGTTTGAACTGTTTCCTTACCTGAGAAAAAAAGTAGTTTGTTTTCTGTTGACTCGCCAAGTTTATAGCCAAAAGGGCATGTTGTGTCGTTCTTCGCATGAAGTGCTGACAAAAATGGCGGCTCGGTTGCTCGAGGTAAGAGGTCGTCTTCCTGTATCATTCTTTTTCCTGTTTACTTGAAATGTAGAATTTCTGCAAACATTTCCTTTTAAATTTGTTTGTCATAAATAAACTTCGATTTTTGAGCCAAAATTTTCTTCTTAGAAAACGCTGAGTTCACGAAACGGCTTCTTCTACGCGAATACACGGGAGTTGTAAACAATCCATCGAGCACAAAACTCCTGCTACAGTAAATTGAAAAACGCCGTATTGAATCCTTCCAAGTCTTTTCTTGCCTTAAAAAAAGTCAGCCCTAGGATTTTGTCGACTTTTAAAAGATCGTTCTCTAAAAAAAACGGGAAAAACACCGAGCTCACACATTATCCACTCGCTAGGAGGTGAATATTGTTGAATAGTCCGAGATAGCGAACCAATCAGATTGCTTAAATCACCAAGATCACTGAGTGTGTATATACTAAAGGTCAATAGTTGAGCCTTATTTTACTTATTGTTGTATTGTTTGGGATAGTATTGGCGAAACGTTGGTAGACAGCCTTCAAAAGATGCAAAATATTGCCGCTCGTGTTATTACAGGTGTCTCATACTCAAAACATTCAGCTGATATTCGGCATGAACTTGGGTGGCTCTCACTTAGTGAAATGAGACATATCATATGGAATTATCATACATAGCTGTATATAGCCGTACATAGCTTTACATAGCCTTACATAGCCATACATAGCCCTACATAGCCGCACATAACTCTACATAGCCCTAGGTAGCCATACAAAGCAGTACATAGCCTTACAAAGCCATAGAATCGTTCTTCATAGCCCTACATAGTCCTACGTAGCTATAGATAGTCTTACATAACCATTGATAACCCTAAATAGCCCAAAATAGCCCTACATAGACGTACATAGACATACATAGCCATACATAGCAATACATAACCATACAAGGCCTAAGAACAGCCCTATATAGCCCTAAATAGCAATACATAGCCCTACATAGCCATACATAGCCCTTCATAGCCCTACATAGCTCTACCTAGCCATGATACATAGCAATATAAAGCCATAGAATAGCCCTACATAGCTTAACATAGCCATACATAGCCCCAGATAGCAATACAAAGCCATACATGGCCATACATAGTGATACATAGCCATACAAAGGTCTAAATAGCCTGACATAGCCATACATAGCCATACATAACCCTGCATAGCCTTATATAGCCCTAAGTGGCCATACATAGTCCTACATAGCCCTGCATAACCTTATACAGCCCTAAATGGCCATACATAGCCCTACATAGCCTACATAGCCATACAAAGCCCTAGATAGCCGTACATAGCCAAACATAGCCAAACATAGCTCTACATAGCCCTACATAGTTTAACATAGCCCTACATAGGGATACATAGGCATACATAGCCCTAAATAGCCATACATAGCCATATATAGCCCTAAATAGCCCAAATAAACATATAGTCTTATATAGCCATACATAGCCCAAAATAGCCCTAAATTGACCTGACACAAACCCTACATAGGCCTACATATGCCTCTTTTTGTCAGAGTAAGAACTGAGTTTTTATTGATAACAGTAACATCAAAGAGGACTCTCTTAATAGAAGTGGATTACATTTCAAATCGGAAAGGTGTTTACCGCCTTGCGTCTAATTTTAGGGAATGTATTAATGGAGACTGAAATTTGACTTGTGTAGATAGTAATAGACGACCTAATGATCACTGTTCTGCCAAACCAATGTCATTTGAAAAGATTACTTCTGAAACTAGAGGTTTCAAAATTGCCTTGCTCAACGTAAACAGTCTTACTAAACACATGGATGAATTAAAAGTCTTTCTGGCAAATAAGCCCCTGGATGTTTTGGCTATTAATGAATCAAAATTGGATCTGGTATATAGTGATCGACTGGTTAATCTAGAAGGTTATAATATTGTTGGCAGGGATAAAAACAAACACGGAGGAGGAGTTTGCTTTTACCTGCGAAATACAATAACATTTTCTAGGCAATATCAACTTGAAAATGATGATCTTGAATCAATTGCCTTAGAAATTGAAACGAAATTCATGTCCATTTCTTATTGCTACCTGGTACCGGCCACCAAACACACCTTTGGATTATTTTTAAAATTCGAAATGTTTTTGAAGGAGGCAGATGCTAGGTATTCAGAAATTTACATACTGGGAGATTTAAACTGTAATATTCTTTCAAATCCCCCAGAGGTTCACACTACCCATTTATTGGACTTGATGGTTGATTATCAATTGGCACAATTAATCAAAGAACCTACAAGAGTTAATGCCAAATCGCAAACTCTTATTGATGTATTTATTACGAAAAAGGAAGATAATATTTCTCATTCGGGAGTATCCACTTTCCATTAGAGACCACAATTTAATTTATGCTGTTAGAAAAATTGGTTTACCCAGGGGACAACCAAAGTTTATTCCATCGAGGCATTCTAAACTTTTCAATGAGGAAAATTTCTTAACAGATCTGAAAAATGCCTCATGGCCTGTTATTAAAAGCGCTATTTTGAATGTAGTTGATAAGCATGCTCCGAGGAGAGTCATGCGAGTCAGAAATAAACGCGCTCCTTGGTTGAATTATCAGTTAAAAGAGGAAATGTATGAACGTGACTGGCTAAAGAAAAAAGCTTCAGAAACGCAGCGGCCAGATGTTTGGAAGGCATATAAAACTAATACGTTAACGGTCAACAAAAAAGTAAAAACGACAAAGAAGGATTATTACAAACATCAAATAGAAGGAGCCTCTGGTAACCTGAAAGCCACTTGGAAAATTCTTAACGACCTAATGGGTAAGAAATCGGACAGCACACAGATTAAGAGTGGTTGTCAGAGAAAACCGGGCAAAATATTAAAAATGTCAACGGAAGGGGGTCGACAGAATCAGTTCATACTAACATCATAGATAGGTCTGGTGGAGTAATGGACAAATATACCAAACATAGGTTCTTCACTGCTCTTGTATTAGAGATACGAGCATCACTTTTTTCGACCCCCTCGGACGCCATTTTTATAAGCAAATTTTCACCATTTTCTGAAACTCACAGAACCCTCCAAATTTAACGAGCGAAGTTTATTTTTTGTATGCGATACAACACATCACAGAACTACTTTCTAAAACCATAAGATTTGTTAAGTATCGACAAGTATCTGACCTAAACTCAGTGTCTGCAGACGAGCAAAAAATCGGGCATTTTAGTTTGAATTGATCCACAGCACACAACTAAAACGACAGAACAACTCTGACAGCCAAATTGCAGTCTACTATCATCCATGTAACCAAAACACTAATAATCATTTTGGGCCATTGAAACAGGAAGAAATTAGAAAACTCACATTTCTTATAGTTTCCAAGCTTTTTCTTGTAAACAGGCCGATCCCTTCGTGTTTGTTTTAAGTCCTCTTCGTGAATTTTCTCTCATATTTCGCTGTAAAGTATGTTCAGCAGCTGAAGGACATATCAAAAAGCTCGAAATACTGCCTAGGTTACATTTTGAAAGGGCAAAAAGTGCTGAACGATAGGATGAAACTAGAAAATAACAAAGCGACGCCATCTTGAAAATTCAGCACTCAGGAGGGACTGGCACTAGTAGCTGCCTTGTCCACAAGTGATGAATTACCAAACAGATAAAAAACAAAAACAAACAAACCGGCTTATCAGCGACCTATTACAGTCCTATTTCTTCTTCAATTACTACTTTTAGTTAAATTGTTGTCGTTTTTTTTTTTGGCGGAGTGATGGGGTGTGGTGAACAGGTGACCAATTGGCATTACTTTATTCAGTCTTCATTTGCTCTTCATTCACTTCATTTTGAGTTATCCAATATAAGTCTTAGCGTTTCTTTGGACTCTTTTTTGTATCATCTATTTTTGCGTCAGTCTTCAATCATGAGGGTCCACTCATCTCCTGTTCATGATTTCATGATGCACAGTTTCATAGTAGCTTCGCCCGAAGGGTACCCCTTTCAAGCATCAGGTGTATTAAAGGGTAGCTAGGAAATCACAAGTTGAAGTATGTGAAAGGAGAGGAAAATCTTTCATTAAGTATTTTAAAGAGCCTATTATTAAAATGCTTCGAAGAAACACGCCTTATGGCAATATCATTTACATGTTAAGGTTACTCGAAAATGACCGGAAGACCTCCTTTCTTACCGATTTATTCTCACGAAGCAGATATAAAGGGTACAACTTTTTGATGGAAGATAGACGAAAGGGGTACCTTTTGTCAAAAATAGTATATTTAAGGGTAAGCGACTGGACCTCAGGTCGAAGCCTCTCCGAAGAAAGCTTTATTGAGTAGCCTCCCACCCCTTCCCCCCTCCCCCTACTCCCTAGAGCTTTCCACAAGTTGCTCGCCAACTTTTTTGTAACTTGTAGTATTTCGAGCAACTTTTTTCGTTTCAAGCAACTTTTTGCGTAATTTCTGAGCAATTTCTCTTACTAGTTTTCATCCAATTCTGAGATATCTGAGCAGTTTTTAGTGCTTAAATTGGCCTTTCTTCCATATTGCACAGTGTTTTAGCAGACAATTTATGAATTTCCTATGAAAAAGGAGCCAGATCCTCACCCCTTGGGGGCAGATGATGGGCGCAAGATGCAGCCGGGCTGCTAGGTCAGAGGTTTTTTTGAACAAAATTCGAAATGGCAGACGTCCATTCACACTTGACTGACACGAGTGTCTAAGGTGAAGGAGGTCATTCAACAATTTTCATGGCTCATACTAGAATTTTTACAGTTATTAATATTAATATTGATGTGTAGTCTTTACTCATACATTTTTTTAAATTGTGGTTTACGGGCTTCTGATGGCGGACAGAGTTATCTAGCAACGCTAATTACGCTGCAAAATTGCACAAAATTACTTTTTTATACTTTGCCAGAAGCCATATGTATATAAGTCGGGGTAGTAGACCGTAACTGAATACCTTTTCCAGGGATGGGGCTGACCTCATCGAAATATATATCATAGCCATTAAATGTACTATTTTTGGCAGATTTTGTGCCATCTTGTGTGACTCGCGCGCGCATTTTTTGCAACAGCGCCTTGGAAAGGATTAACAAACGAAATGGCGTTGGAAATTACCTCCGTAGCGATGAATAAATTCCGTTTCTGTCATCAGTGCCTCCTCTGAAGTTAAGGCAAGACCTTGGGCGCTTTCCACTGAACAAAAATTCCGGTTTGAAATTTTGGAAAATTCACGTGCTCAATGGAACGGTACATTCCGGTTGCACAGACCCGACCAAAGCCACCGCGCGTTTTGTTATTGTAGCTTCTCAGCACACTCATAATTACGCTCTAAAACAGAAAAGTAAATACTGTTTATATCCTAAAGAACACTCGACTGTCGAAAAGGGGCGGTGGAAAACTAAAGGCGGAGGAATCCTATTTCGTGTAGAAAGCCTATAAACGCAAGTGAAGGTAAAAGATTCTTGTGAATTGAAGCGATAGGTTTCTCAGAATATTCGAACGATGGGAAGCAATTCCTGGAACTGTACGGTAAATAAATTCGGTGTTTTAGCCAATTTGTATTCAGCCAGGCTTTGTTTTATTCATGTCAGCTTAATTGATAAATTGCTTTAGTTAAATATCGTCGACAGGTTTAAGACAAATAATACGCTGACTCTCACGGACTTTTATACAATTGTGGCTTGATTTCACACACTTTTTTTCACCTACGTGTCGTGTTGCGTCAGTTACTTGACACTGTTAATGGCAAATATCAAAAATCGAAAAACAAAATTGCAGCTGATTCAAACTATTTGAGATGTCCTGCTTTATTCACAAAACTTCACTTTCCATTGGAAACTACTTGGTCTTGTAAGCAGGATAGAAACGAGCGGTACTGGGGACAACAATTTTGGCAAATGGAAAGGGACATTTCGGTCCACCGACCGAAATGCCGACCGAAATGACCAGACCGGTCACAGTGGACCACCTTCAAAGCTGGTCCCGAATATTCCGGTCGGACCAAACCGAAATGGTACGTTCCATTTGATGTACCAAACGAAATTACCGGAATGTTGGGTTGAATGGAAAGCGCCCCTTAACAGTTACTCTAAATGTGAGGACTGTGAACATGGATTCTGCTTGTGTTAAACGCCGTAGTGAGAGTGTTTTTGACAAATCCAGTGACGAAGAGATGTAGAAGATGTCAAAACTCGAGTTAACACTCAGACTCCTTTTAAAAATTTTTGATCTGCCAAAAACTTGCATGGATCCGCCTTTTCTTTACATGCGACCCGCGGAACCGTAAAGTTTTTGAGCTGCAAACAGTATTGCAATCTATGGAGAATTTGCACGTTCCCTCTAAACGGGTTGCACAGGTAAAAAATTCGTCCGGACCCGTGGCTTTTAGCTTGTGTGGACCCTGCAAAGAGCATACTGAAAAAGAAGTGAGCAGGAAAAACAATGAGGGGAAGGGGTACGGAGTGAGAGCCGTGGGAACTGGTATAATGGTACTTTCTAACAAAAGCTCCTTCCGGATCCTTCCGGTAAACCAGATCTGGTAAACTCTCTGAATGGTTTATTTTGACAGCTCTTGTCAACAGTCTATTACCTTATGGAAATGCGAAGTGATAGCGATGAGATCATCAGTTAGAAGGCTTACTTTCAAACCCGGGGAGGACTCCGCATATGAAAGGGGTGGGGATGCTCGTCGGAAATTTTGAATTAAACTCCTAAAGGAGACCAATCTGGGCGTAGCCCAAGCTTTTTTTGATCTCTAAAAGAGACCATGTTGAAACACAGACAAATGAGAAAACTTGGATGATATGAATGGAGTAAATAAAACGAATTAAAAATATACATATCAAATATATATTTTTATCTTTTTTCGCGTGCTACCCTAAACGAGACCTTCACGGCTAAATATGATGGCGTTTTGCCCAGAACACCCTAAATGAGACCAAAATCCGAAATTTACACCCCTAAGCGAGACGACGAGCATCGCCACCACTTTCATATGCGGAGTCCCCCCCCCCCACGGGGTTCGTCCACTCTCTTCCCGCTCCGCACGCTGATTCAACTGTTTATTTTAGGTGATAAAAATTATTGCAAATTTTACAGCAAGCAATATCTACTGCCCGTAGTTAGCCTGCACGTTTAGAAACTCGCGAGGTTGATATATAGCAAGTCTAGCTAGCTCCCATGAGAGCGAAGTTAAGTGATTCCTAGAGAGACAAAATAGATCTTAAATATTATCTACATTCACGGGACACCTCGAAATGAGGAGGGAGTGAAGCAATTAACCTGCGATCAAGCGTTCTTCTTGTTTTTTCCTTTGAAAGAAAAACAAGCTAAATTCAACTAAAAGAAGTAACTGAAGAGGAAATAAGACTGGAGTAGGTCGCTGATGAGCTGGTTTGTTTGTTTTTTGTTTTTTATCTTACTGGTAAGGCTCCTCAGTGGTAATAGTTCGTAATAGCTAACGTTCGATAAAGGAAATCCTTACATGAATCCGAGGCTTTCTGGTTACAGTTCTGTATTAGGTTTGGTTTTCTATGTGCTGAAGTCTCTTTTGGGAATTACGAGACAATTGAGTTGTGAAAAATTTGCAATTTTTGTCCTTATGTTAG